TCCCATAACAACATACAGAAAGCTAGCTCCAATCCTGCAATTACACAAGAGCTAGGGGCACTGCTGCAGGTAGTGATTCAGGTCAAGAAGGATTCCAGTTTGTCTTCTGGGTAATTTAAAGCAGAGGCAATGAATCATTGTTTTAGAAGAAACTACTCTGGTATCAGACAAAACAACATGGAGCTTAGGGCAAATTTCTTCAGAAGTGGTAAATTAGTATCAAATTCAGTCGTATGTGACAGAAAACTCCCAAATAAGCACTTAGCTAGGCTGCAGCCATGATTTCTACATCCCAGTTAGTAGGAAGAAGGAACTGGAGGCCCCGTTTTTCTAAGGCCAACTGCAAGTAACCTCACATGTCATACATACTTACAGCTGATGGGACAGAACTTAGTGAAATAGCCTTGTCAAGGCCATGTCCTTGAGGAAGGCTGGGACATACAGCCTCCACGCTGGGTTCCCTGCTGAAAAACAGACATTCTTTTGCAAAAAAAATGAAACTAAGGCAGAAGAGATATTGTATAGAAATTAAGTCTGTTTCATTCCCTAACTATGGGACTACGGGTAATAATTTTGTGCTAAAATCTTCTTCTGTGATTTAAGATAATACTTTCTTTGTGTGGATTATTTTGCTTAATCTCTCAGCAGTGTCTGATACTGTTCAGCACAAGTTCCTTCCTGAAACAATCTATTCTTCCTGTGACTTCCATGGCAGGATACTCTCCTGATTTTCCTCTGACCTTTGTAGCTCTTCCCAATTTTTATTGTTAATAGTGTTGCCTCCTCTTCCTCTTTCTGTTCCTTAGTGTTCCCATTGGATCTGTCCTGGCTCTGTCCTGGAACAGCTTCTTCCTCACTTCTCACTTTACCCATTTTCCTCACTGTTAGCCATAGTGGAAAGTATAGTGCACATTTATTGAATGCTTACTATACACTAGGAACTATAAGTGTGTTATATGTAGCATCTCACTTAATCCTATCAACAATCCCAAAGCTAAATACCATTGTTATTATGGAGGTTGGTGTGATTTGTCAACTGTTGGGCTAATGCCAGGTTTGGATTTTAGTTCAGGACTGTTTGACTCCACAGATTTTGAGCTTACCACTGTGCTCACTCTACCTTTCTCCAAGCATATAAAAGAAAACCCTACCAGGTCCCAGCACACACTCAGTTGCTTACTGGATATACCCACTGATGATCATGCACACATTTCACATCCAAGATGCCCCTGAGTAAACTCCTGGTTTTTTCATCACCTGCTTATTGAGCACTTATTATGTGTTTAGGTACTACTATAGGTGCTGAATCTACTGAAGTAACCAAAAGAGACAATTTCTAGTTTCATGAAATTTACTGTTTCGCTGAAGGGATAAATAGTGAAAAACAACGTCAGTTTGTGAGAAACACTACAAAAAATGAAGCAGGCTAAATAGATAGAGAGATGGAGAGGGCTGAATGGTGGGTGGAATAATGGCCCCACGAAGATGTTAACCCTCTAATTCCTAGAAGCTATGACTAGGCTGCATTACATGGAACAGGGAATTTTACAGATGTGGTTAAGGTGAAAGATCTCAAGGTGGGGAGATTATTTAGAATAATGTAGATGAACTCAGTATCATCACATGGGTCCTGAAAAGTGAAAGGTTAGAGATATGTGACAATGACAGTGGAAGACGATGCAAAAGAAATTTAAAGCATGAGGGAGACTTGACTGCCACAGCTAGCTTTGAAGATGGAGGAAGGGGCCACAAGCCAAGAAATGTGGCATATCATGGAAGCTAGGAATGGCAGTCAGCTTACAATCAGTAAGAAAACGGGGACAAAAAATTCTGCTGCTTTAAGTCCCTAAATTCTGATAATTTTTTCCAGCAGCAACAAAAAATGAATGCAAGCTATTTTAAGTGGGGTAGCCAGAAAAGACCACTGTAAACAACTACCTGGAGAGACAGCTGAGAGAAGAGCATCCCAGACCAAAAGAAATGGCTGCAAAATGACATGAACTTTGAGTGCACAAGAAATCGTAAGGAGGTGAATGTATCTGGAGTAAGGGGAGAGCTCTCAGAGCTGGGAGGGCAGGAAAGGCCTAGGCCAGCACATGTGGAGATGTGCAGGTCATGTAGTTTTGGATTTTTTTCTAGGCATGATGAGAGGATAAGTCAGCCGGGGAGAATCACAACCTGACTTAACTTTTAAGTTTGCCTGTGAGTGTTGTAACAAGAGTGCCTGGATGGGGTAAGTGTAGCAGGAAGGCAGATCAATTAGGAGACTCTTGATTGTTATCTAACATTCCAAATAAGAGAGAAAGGCAGCTTGGACTAGGGTGAAAGAGGTGAAGTAATTGGTCATATACAAGATATATTTAAAAGTCAGAGTTCATTGTATTTTCTGATGACTTGGAAGTAGGGTGGGAACCAGAGAAGCCAGCATGGGCAACTAAATGCATAGTGGTGCCAGACAATGACATGGAAAAAAGTACAGTAGAAGAAGGTTGGGAGGGATCAAGTTGAGTTTCAGGCATAAATTTTAGATGCCAAGTAGCCATCCAAGTAAAGATGTCAGGTTTTTAGTTATGTGAGTCTGAATTTAGGGACAGTCTGGTTTGGAGGCATATTACTCCTCCAAAGATGTCCACATCCTAATTCCCAGAATCTGTATGCTATGTTCCATGACAAGGGTAGATTAAGGTAGCAGATGGAACTGAAGTTGCAAAATAGCTAACCTTAAAATAAAGAGATATCCAGGATTATCTAGGTGGACTCTATATAATCAAAAGGATACTTAAATGAGAAAGAGAGAGGCAGAGGACTCAAAACCAGGGATATGGCATACTCAGTTAGCCAATTATGACTTTGAAAATGATGAAAGCTGGTTTTGAAGTTGATGGAAGTGGTCATGAGCCAAAGAATTGGGGAAGCTTCTAAAAACTGGAAAAGACAACGAAACAGATTCCTTCTGAGAGCCTCCTGAAAAGAACACAGCCCTGCTAACACTTTGAGCGTAGTTCAGAGAGAACCATTTCAGACTTCTGAGCTAAAAAACTGTAAATAATAAAATATGTGGATTTTTTTGTTTTTTGGGGTTTTGTTTTGTTTTGACAAAGTCTCACTCTGTCGCCCAGGCTGGAGTGCAGTGACACAATCTCAGCTCACCACAACCTCCGCCTCCCGGGTTCAAGCGAATCTCCTGCCTCAGCCTCCAGAGTAGCTGGAACGACAGATCCAAGCCACCATACCCAGCTAGTTTTTGTATTTTCAGTAGAGACAGGGTTTCACCATATTGGCCAGGTTGGTCTTGAACTCCTGACCTCATGATCCGCCTGCCTTGGCCTCCCAAAGTGCTGGGATTACAGGCATGAGCCACTGTGCCCAGCCAAATGTATGTTGTTTTAAGCCACAAAGTGTGTAGTAATTTATTACATATGCAAGGGGAAACTAACATAAAGCATAATTTCTCTGAAAGTTATTTTTTCTTCAGTGTATCCTGTTGTAGTAAATGACATAAATTTCACCTGAAGTTTCACATGAAAGCATAAATATGTGCCATCCTTAATTCTTTCATTTCTTCATGCTCCTAATCCAGTCACTATCAAGTTGTCTAGATTCTGCTTACTAAATATTTATTCAAAGTTACTCTGTCTCTGTCCTCTACACAGGTTATCATCATTATCATCATTACCCTTTGGGAGAGAAGACAATACAGACACACCATCTATTCCCCATTTAGCAACCAGAATAAATCTTCTAAAGTGAATACTTAAAATTATTCCTCTAGCCTTGAAACTCTTCAATGGATTGCTACTTTACACTATAAATTCTCAACTGCTTGACATGGGTTAGAAGAGCCTCCAGGGATCCTTCCCTGTCTGCCTTCAGGTCCCACACTGCTCCCTTCAGCTTGTTCTCAATCTCCTAAATTCTTAGCGCCCTGAATATCAAGAACTTCTGCTTCAAGACACTCATCACAATAGTGTTCCGTTTGTCTCCATGACAAACACGGAAGCGGGGCTTTTGCCTGCTTTGCTCAGTTCTCTATCTTCATTCCTAGCACCCAGCACATAGTAGGTGCTCAATCAGTATTTGTCTAATGGTAATTGCTCACTGAATACCTGCGAATTACCATGTTTAAAATCTCCACCATGGTTCCTATTCCTTATTTAGTAACCATTTCCTGAAAAGCCCGTATAATGGAGCATTCAGATACTTCTAAAAAATTTCAATGTTTGTGTCCATCACCAATTTTACATTCTTGACTCCCCCCAACTTCGGAGACAAACAGCAAGAGGTGAGAGACATTTTATTTTGATTTTTCTTGCATTTATCATGTCACTCAATCCTTCAGCAAGTATTTACTGATACTTGTGTCAATCACTAGGTGTTGAGAATACAGTAAGTGAATAAAATCGTGTTTTCATGGAGTTTGCAGTGTGTGTGTGTGTGTGTGTGTGTGCAGACAGGGTGAAATAAAGTCTGAAAATAAACGAATCTAAAGTTATAAAATATCAGACAGTGATAAGTGCCAGAGTCAGAAAGAAGTGTGTGTGTTGATAATTTTTTTTGCTTAGCGGCTTCGGAAAACTCAAAGAATAAAACATCTGAGCAGCGACCAAGACCGACTGGCAAGCGCGTATCACCTCACAGAGAAGAGTACAAGCTTAGGAATCCTGCTTTCTAAATTCGAACCGCAGGTGTCCAGTTACACCTGTACGCGACTGAACAAATACTTTTAACCTGTCTCTTAGCTGTAATACTACGTACCTCAGGCTTGTTAAGAGAAAATGCTCCGCAAGGAACTAAACAGAAGATTCTAATGCTGGGACAAGACTAGGAAATGCACCCTGGAAACCGCGTTTCCCATAAACATCTCCCCTCTGGCTGGAGCGCAGTTGGTGATTGGCTACTCAACCCGTCCGTCCTTTCCGGCCCTGGAGTCCAGTCCAATCCCGCCTGGCTCCGCTCGGAGACAGTTAGCCGAGTGGGCGGTGTCTGTGACGTTTCCTGACGTCTTACGTCACGGTGGGCGGAAGTCGCGGCCGCTGTTTTGAAATAGGGCCGCGTGGGTCTTTCAAGCTGGTTCCAACGCTGAGGGCCCGCAGCAGCCCAGTTCCGGGCAGACCCCTGACGCCGGCCCTCTGGGCTCACCCGGCGTGAGGCTGCAGGCGCGCCATGTCCACCCCTCCGTTGGCCGCGTCAGGGATGGCGCCTGGGCCCTTCGCCGGACCCCAGGCTCAGCAGGCCGCCCGGGAGGTGAACACGGCGTCGCTGTGCCGCATCGGACAGGAGACAGTGCAGGACATCGTGTACCGCACCATGGAGATCTTCCAGCTCCTGAGGAATATGCAGGTAGGAAGGGAAGGCGGGCGCGCGGGGCCCGCGGGGTGCTGCTGCGAGGGAAAAGGGCGCTGGTTTCCTCGTTACGTGGGGCCCGTGGACGTCCACGGGGTTGCCCTGGGCAAACCTAAGGTGTAGGGTCGCCCCATTCGCATTCAAGAGTGTCCCCAAAAGTCGGAGCGGTAGAGTAGGTGTTTTCCAGACCAGATTTCTGGAGAATTGAAGCCAATTTTTTTAGGTTCGATCAAGCTCTTTAGTTACCTTGTAAACTCTTGCACCTTTCATGGCAGAGATGGGCCGCACCCCACTTCCCTCTTTAGGTTGCTTTAAATGTTGTTGTTGTTGCTGTTGTTGTTGTTTTTCTAGCATTTCTTCTGGGGAGGTGCAAGGAATTGAAGAATTTACATTCTTTTTTAAAAAACAGTCCTTCCTGTTTTTGGCATAGTTAATATACAAGTAAACTACACTCAACCTAAAAGTTTGGCAAATATATGTACTCTACTGTGTATACTTGTGAAATTATCACCACAATCAAGATAGTGAACATACACATCACCCCAGAAAGTTTCCTCATACACCTATGACATCTTTGCTTCCCATCTTCCATCGTAAAGACGGTAACTTCCAGAAACATTGATCTGCTTTCTGTAATCATAAATTAATTTGTGTTTGCTAGAGTTTTATATAAATGGAGTCTACAGTATGTGGGCTTTCTTTGTCTGGAAACCTTAACTAAGCATGCATCAATAATTCCTTTTTATTGCTGAGTAATATTCCATTGTATCAGTGTATCACCATTTGCGTACCTTTGCTGTTGTTGAACATTTGGGTTGTTTCCACTTTTTGGCTATTATAAATAATGCTGCTGACATCATTTTGCTGACAAATTTTTGTATGAACATGTCCCTCATTTCTCTTGGACAGAGAGATATTCAGGACTGGAATTGCTGGATCATGGAGTAGATGACTGTTTAATACTTTAAGAAACTTTTCCAAAGTGGCCTGAGGCATTTTGCGTTCCGATTATTGCTAATGGGAATGTAAATATTGCTGTTTGAGGGTTCTGGTTTCTCCTCATCCTCATCAACACCTGTTATGTCTTGATGCTTTCCAAATAATTCTCCCAGTCTGTCTTGTCTTTTTTTTCTCTTCATATTATCTTTTGACGAACAAACGTTTTTAATTTTGATGGAATCCAGCTTACTGATTTGTTCTTTTATAGATTTTGCTTTTGGTGTCATACCTAAGAAATCTTTGACTAACCCAAGGTGACAAAGGGTTTCTATTTACTTCTAGAAGTTTTGTAGTATCAGGTTTTCTATTTAGGTCAACAACCTATATTAAGTTTTGTGAGTTTTTAAGAGAGAGAGACTGTGTGTGTGTGTGTCTGGAGTGGCAGCTACGGATCCAGGTTCATTGTTTTGCATTTGGGGTGTGTGTGTGTGTGTGTGTGTGTGTGTGTGTGTGTGTAGTGGCAGCTACGGATCCAGGTTCATTGTTTTGCGTTTGGATATCCAGCTGTTCTGACACCATTTTGCTAAACCATTTTTAATGATTGCTTATGTTACCCACTACATGTAGTAGATATTATTCTGGTTTTACAGATGAAGATTCTGTACTTCAGAGAATTAAAGTGACTTCCCCAAACCTAGTCAGTGGTAGGGTAAATTGAAACCAAATTTTCAAAATCTTATAGCTCTTATTTCTATGGATGTCCTAAAAAGTGTTTAATTCCTTTTTTTTTAAGTGGTTGAGTTTTTCTTTTCCTCCTGATTATAAGAATAATTCAGTTTTGTGGAAATTTTCAAGACTATGTGAAATATATAAAGGAGATCCCGGAGAAATTATGACATTCTTTGGCAGTAATTTTTTAAATGAATAGTCATATAGAGTGAATAAGGTGTGGATTAAATGATGTCTCAGAAATTAGTATATTTTTAACATTTTTTGTCCTGATACATGCTAAGCGCTGAATAATACCACTTACCAAGTACTTTCCTTGGTCAGGTACACTGTTATAGGCGCCGTTTTAAGAAGCATTTTTATCCGTTTTGCAGTGAAGGAAACTGAGGCTTAAAGAGGGAAAAAATAAATTACTCAACATCACACAGGATGAATAGCTCTTCCTACTAACCTCTTTTTAATACTAACTTGCTGTCAATCTGTATTATTAAAAGATACAAAACAGGTGCGTGTTCTATGCAGAAAGAACTAAACTTATTTTAGAAAAAAAGTATTTTATCAATAACTAGATTACCTGTGGACCAACTTTTAAGGGACTAAAATTATAAATGCGTGCTTTTCATTTTGTGAAATCTGTGGCCTTACTCATCTAAGACCCTTTGGGGCCTATCATAATTGGCTGAAAAGATAACAATGGGTTCCTTCGTTTCCAAAAAACTAGAAGAGGTGTTATGAACAGGGTGTTCTTAACTATGTATAACCTAGTTATTTATTAATACATTTTAAGTATTCACATTTTAAAATCATTCTCTGTATTGTTGATCTATGAGGGTGAAGTGCTGTGAATACAAATTGCTAAGATTGTTTCTAAGCATTTGTTTTAAGAAAGTGGTTCCTTGTATACACTAGATGTCAGTTAGCACTTGAGAGTCTGATGAAAACTGTGAACTCTCTTAGAAAAATACACATATACGTGCATTTTGAAAATGTCAAGGGTTAAAGGAAGATATAGGGACACTCCCCAAGAATCCCTGAATCTCAGATTAAGGGTCCTTGTGGAAGAGTCCATTGCTCTGGCTCTGTTTATTATTCTTTAAATCTTTTTTTTTTTAAAATACATAGTACATTCAGAATTCAGGAATAAAAAAGGACAGTGCAGTGAACATTTTCCCTCCCGTTCCTATCTGTTATACTAGGTACATAACCCCTCTCCACAGGCAGTGATTATTAGTGATTCTTACTATTTTTGTGTATCCTTCCAGATATTCTCTACATATTCAGCAAATGTTTATGCATATTGTTTCATTTCCCCCTTTTTGCACAGATAATAGTATATTATACACACTATTTTGTATCTTGCTTTTTTCAGTTGATATCTTTTGGAATTTATTCATACTGCCTTTTCTTTTTACAGTGTATAGTTTACACTGCATGGAAATACTGTAATTTATTAAACCAGTTCTCTAGTGAGGGCATTTGGCTGTTTTTCATCTCTCCCTGTTAAGCTGCAGCAAATAACCTCCTACACAAATGTGTACTGTACCTGTAGGATAAGTTTTTAAAAATAGCTATGTGCTTTTGTAATTAGATACATTTTGATGAATTGTCCTCCACAGAGATTATACTAGTTTATGCTACAGTGGAAGGCCAGCACAGTGAGTTATATCTTTTTGGATCCTTGATCACTTGATAGGTAAAAATTCTGCTTTACATTTCTCCTAGTTTGACTGAGTTTGAACATCCCTTAAAGTATTTATGAATCATTTGTGTATTTTTTCCTGCTAAATACTTATTCATATTATTTACCCACTTTTCTGTTTTTTTCTCATTTTTTCAACTACCATAATTGTAGGATTTAGCTATTTACATATTAGAGAAACCTGCTCTGTGTGACATAACTTGTACTTATTCTTTTTCCCAATCTTTTACCTGTTGGCTCTGCTAGTGGTAGTTTTGCCATGCTTTTTTTTTTTTTTTTTTTTTAAGTAGTTGAATTGATTAGTCTTTTAGGACTTCTAGGATTTATGCCTAGTTAGGAAGGTCTTCCCCACTCAAATCAGGAAGAATTGCATAATTTTAAAATTTTCAGTCTTTACATTTAAAACTGTGATCCTTATGGAATTTATCCTATAAAGTGTGAGGTCTGGGCCTAGCCTTAACTTTTTCAGAAGGTTCACTGAATAATTCATTTGTTTCTTCCAGTGAGTTGAGGTAGTTTTTACTTAAGTGAATTTGTTTCTGGATGTTCTATTCCACATAGCTGCCTATCTTTTATGTATTAATGCAAAACATTCTTATAATTTGTCAGGCTCTATAATGTGTTTACACTTATTTTTCAGAATTTCCCTGGCTATTCTTGCTTATTTTTCCACATATATTTTAGAATCAGCATGTTCTAAGAAAGAACTATTAGCATTTTTATTAGGTTCATTCAGCCTAGAAAGACTTGACATCGTTATAATGTTGACTCTTACTAACCAAGATCAGGAGTATTCTTTTTCTGTTTTTCTATAAAGTATTTGAAGTTTTTATTTTTATCTTGAGATTCTAAAAGTTTTTTTTATAGGTATTTTACCTTTTCTGTTGCTATTGTAAATGGGGTCTTAATTTGTTTCCCATGTTTGTGTTGGTTTTACAGATGAAAGCAGAGCTATTGCTTTGTCTTTGGACCTACCTCCTTATTGAATTCTTTTCTTTTTAGTAGTACTTTATCATATTATTTGTAAATAGATTATGATGCTTTCTTTTTAATGTTTCAACATTTTTTTTCTCTCTTTTTCTTCTCTAATTGCATTGGCTAATGCTTCCAGAACAGTGTTCACTTGTAGAATTAGTGGTGTTAGTAGACATCCTTTTCTGTTTCTGACCTTAGTGAGAATGCTTCTAATGATTTCACATTAATCATGGTGCTGACTTTTTAACTGAAATAAATGTATGTTATCACATTGAGGACTTTTTATTGAGTTTTATATTGATTTTTTAAAATAAATATTGAATTTAATTTAATGCCTTCTTAGTATCTATGGACCTGATCATATATTTGTGGGTTTTCATCCATACTCATGAGTGAGATGGTTATTGATGAGCTATTCAGCTGAACAGCTACACCACAGTATATACCAATGGATTGTAGGCATTTTAACCTTGTATACTCTATAGTATGGGATCTGCCTCTCTCATATTTACTGCCCTATCCCAGCTTCTAGAACAGTGCTGACACATGAAAGGTGTGTGGTATTTTTTTAAATGATTTAGTACGTTAAATTTGTAAGTTTGGACATTAGATTTAAAATCTGATATGTTTCTAAGTCAGCAAATTTGGGAAGCGTGATTCTTTGCATTTCAAAAGGATTTTTGTTTTCTTTATGACAGTATTTATCGAGTTCTTTTACATAATGCACACTTCTTAATAAATTTTCAGTACAGATTTATGGGTAAAATAATTCAGACTGTACTTTAAAGCCTTCCGTGTGTGTGCACTATGCTAAACATGATGATATAAACCTAAGTTTCAGTATTTACTAAGTAGAAAATATGGCCAAGTATTAAACCTCATAAATGCAATAATAAAGGTAGAGAGTGCTGTTCTAGGCTAGATATAATAATCACGCTCTTTTTTGTCACCTAAACAACAAAGTAAGGATCCACTTAAACTTTTTCTGAATTTCTAGTTAGTGTCTGGAATTTCATAAATTGAGAGTTCATGAGGAGAAATCTTACTTTGTACTGAGAAGTGAACCCTTAATGCATTTCTCCTTTAAAATATTTTGACTAGTTCAGCCTTTGGTATTTTATCACATTTCTTTGAGGCATTGTCAAGTGTTTTAATGCTTGAAAATTTCTGAAAATCCTATCTCACTTCAAATAATTTCAAGCGATCCATCTCCTTAACTCATAAACAAAATTTAGAAATGTGAGAAAAGAAGAAATTAAATTATTCCAGCCGATTTATCTTATACATCTTTTATCAACTACGTATAGGCCTTTCCAGTCTTTTTTCATGTTTACGATTTTAATCATTTGTCCTGTTTTCCCTTCTCTCCAAACATTGTATTATGCTTTTGTTTGTTTGCTTTTTGGCATTCCTACCTCATGTGTTTAAAAAAGAAAAAAAAATGCAAACTGAAGCTTAGAAAGACTGGACTGATCGTCTGGCTATTAGATAGTAGACAGTGCTTTGGTTTTTAAATTACCTGATTTAAATTCCCAAATAGGTATACATGTGAATTCCTACAAATAAAAACACCTACATACTAGAAAACGAGGTACTGTATAAATATTATTGATTCAAGTATTAGGGTGGTGCCACAGATTAAATTGTGGTAGTAAAATAATTGTGTACCTGTACAGAGAAAGAAAAGTTTTGTTCATGAGTTTCAGCAGTGCACAAGTACATATTTAGTTATACATTCTAAATAAATAGTAGTCGATTTTTGTTTACCTGTTATTTTATCATTGTTTCAATATATACTTTTGGCTCTTTTGATAAAATTCCTGAATAGAGTTAAGGTATTTTGAGAAGATTTTTGTAAACCAGCAGTATATTCTTCATTTTTTTCCACTAAATATCACAAGATTCACTTTTCTTTTAAACTGTACTTTGTTTTTAACTTTTTGGTTGAGGTCAGCAGCATGCTGCATTTATATAGTAGAAATATTAAAATTGTACATTCTTTTTAAAGTTACACTTCAAAAATTAAAGGGGAAAAAGTATTTCAAGTCAGAGGGTTTATCACAGGGTTTTTCTAGATCTGTTTTACAGCAGTGAAACAGTATGCCAATTTGTTAATAAATGGGCATGTATTACTTTTACATTCTTTTTTTTTTTTTGAGACGGAGTTTCACTCTTGTTACCCAGGCTGGAGTGCAATGGTGCTATCTCGGCTCACCGCAACCTCCGCCTCCTGGGTTCAGGCAATTCTCCTGCCTCAACCTCCTGAGTAGCTGGGATTACAGGCACACGCCACCATGCCCAGCTAATGTTTTGTATTTTTAGTAGAGACGGGGTTTCACCATGTTGACCAGGATGGTCTCGATCTCTTGACCTTGTGATCCACCCGCCTCAGGCCTCCCAAAGTGCTGGGATTACAGGCTTGAGCCACCGCACCCGGCTACTTTTACATTCTTAAAATTGAATTTGATCAGTTGGGGGAACAGCTTACATCTATGCATTGCTTAAAAATTGTTTGTGTGTTGGCTTTACTTATAGAAAATCTTGGGCCGGGCACGGTGGCTCAAGCCTGTAATCCCAGCACTTTGGGAGGCCGAGGCGGGTGGATCACGAGGTCGAGAGATCGAGACCATCCTGGTCAACATGGTGAAACCCCGTTTCTACTAAAAAAAAAAAATACAAAAAACTAGCTGGGCATGGTGGCGTGTGCCTGTAATCCCAGCTACTCAGGAGGCTGAGGCAGGAGAATTGCCTGAGCCCAGGAGGCGGAGGTTGCGGTGAGCCGAGATCGCGCCATTGCACTCCAGCCTGGGTAACAAGAGCGAAACTCCGTCTCAAAAAAAAAAAAAAAAAGAAAATCTTTTATTTTTATTTTCCATTACTCTATATTATATTTATTCTTTGTTTTGCCTGATAAGCTGCCAAATGGTGTCACTTACCACACTGGAACATATCAAGACCGGTTAACAAAGCTACAGGATAATCTTCGCCAACTTTCAGTTCTCTTCAGGAAGCTGAGATTGGTATATGACAAGTGCAATGAAAACTGTGGAGGGATGGATCCCATTCCAGTAGAGGTAATTTTTCATGATAGAGGGAGGATGAATATAAGGTGTGAACTAGTGTCAAGACAGTTGTTATTCTTTTTCCTTTCTCTCTTATTTTAGCAATATTTCCAAGTTTTGAATTTTATTGGTTTTACTTTTTGACCAGAGAAGATGAAAATGTGATATATATGCATAAAATGCTACTATATTTTTACATTAACAATTTCTTGTAGACTTTGACAGGCTTATAGTGATTTTTGTTGTTGTTAGGAAGAAATGGTTTTCTCTGGCAATTTTTATTGCTGTCAGTGTCTCCTTTGAATTAAGTCAGTGATATTTTTAGTAGGAATTTTAATAGTATTTTATACTTTAAGGTGGTTTTCATGAAGTACTTTACAGATAAAATATTTTTATTGTTATTAATTTAGAATTCATATTTAGCCCAGTGGAATCACTATATTTTAAAAATATATTCTCTAAGTTTAATCTTGGGTCATATTTGTTTAATTAGGTATATATTTCTATAAGTGACCCTTTCCTGTTGACAAATTATCTCTCTGCCACCCAAGGAAGCTGGTAAGAGATGACCAGAGAAAAATTAAACTGCAAAAATGCCTAAAAAGAAGGGGTCAGAGATGTAGGAGAAAGATGAGGAATGTGGCCTACATTGTCAAATGCTGCAGAGAAGTCAAGGAAAATAAGGAATGAAAACTGTCCAGTACTTTTTGCTAGATGAAAATTGTTGGTATATTTGAGTAGAGCTTCAGTGAAATGGGTAGCAGCACGAAGTCTGATTGCAGTTGGGTGAAGATTAAACAGGAAATAAGAAGCTGGAGCCGGCAAGTGGATATCAGTCTTTCAAGAAGCTTTGATAAAAATAAGTGAAGAAAGCAGTAGGTGGAAGGAGAGATGGAATCGAAGGTTTGCAGGAGGAAGGGAGGCTTCCCCTCAAATAGAAGAGACAAGAACATATTTGGATAATGAAGGAAGAAAGCTGTAGGGAGAAGTTGGGAGAAAGGTGTATAAATAAGGAAGACAGGAGAGCAGAGTCATCAGGGTACAGGGATGGTGACTAATCCTCTTCAGGAGGAAGGACAGCTCTGCATTAGGAGAGAGGAAACAAAGAAAAGGAGAATGCAGCTGGGCGTGGTGGCTCACACCTGTAATCCCAGCACTTTGGGAGGCCGAGGAGGGTGGATCACGAGGTCAGGAGTTCCAGACCAGCCTGGCCAACGTGGTGAAACTAAAAATACAGAAATTAGCTGGGTTTGGTGGCACATGCTTGTAATCCCAGCTACTCGGTAGGCTAGGGCAGGAGAATTGGTTGAACCTGGGGAGGCGGATGTGTGGTGAGCCAAGATTGCACCACAGTCTCGGCAACAAGAGCAAAACTCCATCTCAAAAAAAAAAAAAAAGAAAAGAAAGAAAAGGAGAATGTAGACATAGGCTAGTTGATATATGTCCCAAGTTTTATCAGGTGAATCCTAGTTTTACCAATCATTTACCTTTGGCCTATTCCTACATTGGTAATACATGATGGTAGAGGCTAGGTGATTCCTGAAGTCTGTCACACCTATGAGGGACTTCAACAAGTAAATTCCATCAGTAACCATGTATACTTAATTATGATTCTGCTAGAAGTTTCATTGCTATATAAATTTGTTTCTCCTACAAAGAAAAAGTTCTTACAACCAGAAAAATTTAAGACATCTAGAAGTTTGCATAGACTTTAAAGTTTTAGATTGCAAGTAATGACATTTATATAACAACAGATCCATGAAGTTCTTTTCTTTTTATTACAGATGAAGGAAAGCCTGTTTTATCGAACTCAATAAACTACAAATTTCTTAAGGGCAGGGATCACGTCTTGTTTGGCATTACTTTTGTAGTGTCTCATGATTAAATATTTGCTGATTGAATGAGTAGGGTATTTTTAAAATTTTTCATTATTTTATTTTTTGTTACTTCTCCCATCTTCCTGCTGGAAGTATTGTTTAACTGTACATGACAACCAATGTTATAAAGGCTGTTTTGCTAAAGAAACCTGAAAGGGTAATGTGTAGAATGCATTGAAATGGTAACCTACTAAAGCTCTTCAGGCCATCCCTTGAACTGAAATTTATTTTTATACAAATGGAAGTATAAAAATTATCCTTAATCTGATACATTCTCTATACCAGTAATTAGAAAACTTGAACTATATTTTTGACTTTTAATTTTTGTTGATCACTCCCAGCAACTTATTCCGTATGTGGAAGAAGATGGCTCAAAGAATGACGATCGGGCTGGCGCACCTCGTTTTGCTAGTGAGGAGAGGCGAGAAATTGCTGAAGTAAATAAGGTGAGTGGTTAGTTCGTACATTTTATGTTTTAGAGTTATTGATAAAAATTGCTAGGGAGTCTGATGTAACTCCAAAACATAATTTGAATTATCAAATTACATCAAGTTGTTTCTGTGGCAAACTTAACCTATTTAGAATACAGCCAAGAACTGAAAGGTAAGCAGAAATGCTGTCTGAATAGTCAGAAAAGAAATTGCAAAATTCATTCAATAAAGCTCTTAGGAGAGCTCTTTAGACATTTAGTCACAATCCATTTACTTTTTTCTTTTCTGGGCAGAATTCTAGCTTTCTAGCTGGTAGCATATTTGGAGCAGCAAATGATAAAAATTTACAAATATGAAATGTGAATGTCTCAACACCTGAATAAGAAATTTAGAGAATTATCCCAGCATTATTCTACTTCAGTCCCACAAAAAGCTTCTAACTGGAACATATTTATCACTCAATACTTTCAAAAGTTTGGAAGATAATGTTCAGATAGTTCTAATGAAACAGAGAAATAGGGAAAGGTGTCAGTTCATTCTGTGGTGGAAATGTGGCCCCAGCTTAGCAAAACCTACCAGAAATAGCACAGTGAATAAAACTATCAGCTTCACTCTTTCACTGACAAATCTAGATTTCCCCTTCCTGAAATTCTTAATTCTAATTAATATAACTCATCAGTGTATTAATAATTCATTACAGCCAAAGAAGTTCTTCTGAGGCATATGAAGATTTTATAGTTCAATCTGTATGTATAATATATGATGTCAGTAGACTACCTTGGAAAAAGATTTTCTCACATATGTCTAAAAGACATCTGATAGAATTCAATACTATTGCTGATTCAAAGGACACTTAAAACTATTAGCAAGACAGTGTTTTGTTTTGTTTTTTAACTTTTTCTTTTAGATAAATAGCCAGCATTTTTCATAAGGTAAAACATAGAAGTATTCCTATTAAAAACAGGCATGAAATAAAATGCTTTACGCAACTACGTTTAATGTTATTTTAGAAGTTATAGTCAGTACAAAAAGACAGTGAACAAATAACAGTTGGGAAACAGAAGTTATTAAGTACAAGCCCGTTAGAATGATGAAAGAAACTCAATTGATGAATAACTAGTCTATAAGAGTTCCGTAAAAGGTTCTAAGACAAAACTGATACCATGCTCTTATAATGGTGTAAACCTATTAGATTATAGGATTCTATTCACTCTTGTAACAATTAATATTAAGTAGACAGGAATTATGTCAATTATATGTGTGAATAAACTTATTAAGATACATAAATGAAGCTTTGAATGATTAAAAGATTATATAAAGTTATTGAGTGAGCAATAAATATTATAAAATACCAACTTGATTACTTCACAGTTTTAATACAGTAACAATCCAAATCCTAGTAAGATTTTTCTTGAAAGGGTGCAAAAATAATACGATTTTAGTGCAATACCAATCAAACAAATTCAAATAAAATCCATATGGGATTTTTTTCTTGAAAATATACAAAAATATAAAATAAAATGTTGATAAATATGAGTAATAAAGCAGAATTTTTAGCTTCGAAAATGGAATAAGCATATTATAAAAACGGTAATTTAGTGTGTAATACTGGCATAAGAACAGGCAGATTTGTAAAATAATCTAGCCAGAAAAACAGGCTTCTTATTGTACATGAGAATTTAATATTACAGAAGAGGGCTTCTATGGAAAATTAGTCTTTAGAAATAGAAACTTTGGGGGCAAAATTAAGCTAGCTTTTACATTATACCATATATCAAAATGAGTTTCAGAGTTGAAAATAAGGCCTGCAAAACAAAATATTGAATGATTTTTTTAAGTATTTTAAAACTCAGGAGAAAGGAAAAAGATGGATAGATTTTATAAAATAATATTTTGTAACTTCTTAAAAAGGTGAAATACAGATTTAGAAGACTATTTTCCAAAAATCTGATGGTAATAAATGACAATCATAATAAAGAACTCACAGTAGGAAATTGGTAGAGAATGAGGAGGAATTGGGAACTTTTAGATACTGAAAAATAACTGGTGTTTGGTAGTCTAGATATATGAGATATTCACTTATTAAGATGTGTTATATGTTTCTGTTGATAAAATATGTATTACCTCATAAATGTGTTCTGCTTATTTTTCTCTGAGAAGGGTTTTTTATAAAGTACAAAGAAATATGTATATAAATAAAACACCATTGTAATAATAACTTTGGTTTCAGAGTACCACATGTGTAACTAATATAAATGTAGTTTGTTCTGTATTATATTTTACACTATTTTGTAAAAAATAAAGCTGTATAAATTCAGAAAGATACATTTCACTTCAATTTTCATTAAGTTCCTTTTTTCCCAATTTGATAACTTAGAAATAATGTGTCTTTGATGTTTAAAAGTTCTTTTTTATAATCAAAATATGGTAATTCTTTGGCAGCATGAAACCAAAAATAGTCTTATTAGCTACTGACGTAGAGTTTTGTGGATTTTAGGTAAAGGATATAATTGATACAAGGATAGGCTGGCCCAGCCAGCATTCCATCCAGACCTACAGGAAGATGGAACACTTGGGAGAGTAGGATGAGAACCATGAAACTGTCTGATGATTTTGACTCTGTGAAAAATTGGAAAATAGTACTGAGATGCTGTCATAGATGCATAAAAACTAACAAATTTTAGAAAATTAAAGAGGTAAGAATTATAAAAAGACTTATTTCTTCACATGAGGATTTAGTTCTCTGTCACCTCTCTCTCCAGGACCCACCTATGTAAGTGTTTCCCTCAAACTTTTCAGTGCAGCTATATCATGATTGTGGTTGAGTAAATAATCCGTGCCATATAATTATGGCTGTATAAATACTGGTTATTGCTAAACCATAAACAATACTAGGGTTACATTTCCTTGAATAATTTTTTGTTTTTCTGGAGTTAATTCTTACCTCTTTAATTTCTAAAATTTCAGTTAGTTTTTTTATGCATCTATGATAGCATATCAGTACTATTTTCCAATTTTCCACAGATTCAGAATTATCAGACAGTTTCATGGTTCTCATCCCACCCTCTCAAGTTTTCTGTTGTCTTATAGATCTGTATGGAATGCTGGCTGAGCCTACTTTTTAGCTCTGGGGCTTTTCTCACCTTTTCTGTTGGTTTCACATTTCTTCAACTCATGTCTTCCTGTTTCTTGGTTTTCTTCCTTGTTGGTAATGTGCATACATCAGTGACTTCTTTAGAAAGAATGCAGACAATTAAATTTTGAGCCCTCTCATAGCTGTCCAGTTGATAGCTTGGCTGGTTATAAAATTCTATGTTGTAATTTATGTTTTCTCAGAAATTTGAAGGCATTCCTTAATCTGGTATAGGGTTTGGCAGACTTTTCCTTAAAGGAAAGGTTTGCTTTTTTTTCAGTTCATACGATTAGTAAATGAAAGTTTTAAATTTCACAGGATCTTAGCTAGTAACACTAAAACATTAAAAATACTTCTCACATATTATGGCAGGGAGTTTTAAAGTGTGTTTTTAATAAAAGCCATTATTAAATCTTTTTTTTAATACTAAGAAGAGTTATTTAAATAAAAAAGAAGTTTTGAAATGATCGCCAAGAATTTTTGTTTGCTTGTCTTGTTTTCTCCATTCTCGTAGGTTTTGGAAGAAGTTTTTTGATTTGGCTTTTGTTATTTTTTCTTTAAACATAAAAATATTTAAATATTGGTGTGCCTGCTCTCTGCCAGGCATTGTCTTCAGTACCATAATTTCTTCCATGAACCAGCTGGATGTGTTGTGTGCTGTCATACTCATTTCACAAGAGTGGAGAAGTTTCTTCTTGGAGACCATAAGACTCTCCAGTGGAAACAAAGCAGCACCTGTTTCATGTATCCATTTCATGTTTTGATGAATATTTACAGAAACAAAAGTATTGTGCCATATTTTTAATACATCGGCATTTGGTTGTATTAAATAAGGTGCTTTATGGATCTGTGCAATCTGTAATAAAATTATATTATTTGCATTGAATTTAAAATATTCAGAATTTTATTACAATACATATTGTCTTTTTATTCTCAATAAGCTACATAAAATAAGTAGACTTATATACCCCTCAGTTGACCCTTACTTAGTCATTTTCAAAATATTATCATATCATTGCATACTTGAAATTGTGCAGAAGAACATATTGATAGTGTGTTTACTGTTTAGTCCTTATGGTCTGTCTGGTTTCTAACAATGCAAATATCACCAATAACTATCCTGGTGCCATGAAACTTTGAGGCACATGATTTGCAGTCAGTATTTGATATAAATCATCATAAGACTAAAACGACTGGTTTTAATAGTCAAATTTGTGGTTTATTTAAATGCTTTTTATTTTCTCTTCATATATCCTGGAATCCTTAAGCCCAATACTCAAGTAAAGGGTGGATACTTGTTTGAGACTATATGCTTTAGGTGCAGGGGTGTTCAATCTTTTGGCTTCCCTGGGCTACATTGGAAAAAGAAGAATTGTCTTGGGCCACACATAAACTATACTAACACTAATGATAGCTGATAAGCCAAAAAAAAAAAAAAATCACAAAAAAAGCATCTTAGAATGTTTTAAGAAAGTTGAAATTGTATTGGGCCGCACTCAAAGCCAACCTGGGCTACATGCAGCTGCCTGCAGGCCACGGTTGGACAAGCTTGCTTTAGGGACATCAGAATGAGTTTTATTTTATTTAAGGCTGTTTCCTTGATAGTAAAATGAAATTGAAAAAGATAGTAGGTAGTATTTACAAGGTTGACATAGTTGAGTCCATGCATTTAGAAAGTAAAGCAGTTTTTGTCAAGTGTCACAGCTTTTGTGTGAATATTAAATTACATGGTATAAGTTAGCATAAACGTTTTTTAAGTATCTACTCTACTTACGCATTCACCTGTTAATGTAAGAAATTGGGCACAGCTGATGGATTTTGAAAATAGCAGCTGTCAACCTCTGTTAAAATCAATCAGTGGCAAGACTGTATATATTAAATCCTATATCGTGTCATGAAAATTTATTTACAGTTTAGCCTCTAATAAGCATAAGTGTCAGCTTTGCTGTTGATCATTTTATGACATGTTTTGACTTTGGATATTTTATTTGTATGCTAATTTTTTTAATTTAAAACTTTGTGGCATCTTTGACAAATGCTATCCCAAGAACCTTATATTAATTATTTAAAATTTTTCTCTTCCCTAGAGTTGAATATTATCTTGAAAATACCCTACACATTTTAGTTATTTTCTAGAAAACAATTACGAGGCTTAAAAAAAGTACCAGAATGTATATTTCCAAATGAGAATTCTTGAATGTAGTCTTATTGGTAGGTTATGTGTTTATTTCAATGGTGGAACCATTGTGAGAGCCATCTGCAAGCCCTGAGTTAATATTGATTTTAACGTCTGTTTATAACCACCCAGATGACCAACTGTCATCTTATGTATGGGTATGCAGAAAGTACAACTGGCAGAGACCTTACATTTTGTAATCCATTGACATAAATGAGAAAACCCAAGGAGAATGAATTTTTCTAAGATCAAATACCAAGTAAGAGGCAAAGTTGGAACTGAGACTGAGATTGCCATCCTCCCAATATAGCACTTTTATATTCCTCTGTTTTGCTGCTACTCTTGATTGCTGGCAGAAGTGTCGGTTTCTTAGTCTCTGTGATGAAAAAGAGTTTATAGGCTTGGTTATTCTTCATCTTTCTCAGTAATTTGAATCAATTTTGTTAGATAATACTTGCAACCACTTAAATAACAGACTATCACATACTCATAATGACAGAATATAGAGATGGGTCATCTGAAAACTTGTACAGGGAGACTGAGTAACTAAAAATACCAAGAGTTTCTGTTTCCAGACGACTTAAAGTGAGCTTTAGAGTCAAGCCATGTGTACTGTATAAGTCATGTTTTTCTCTGACTGCATTGTGCTGGTTCTCTTTTCAAATGTGAATTAAATTTAGTTAGTTATGAAAGATTTTTAAAGTCTCTATAAATCGATTTTCTATTTTCCAATAAGAGTATCTTGGTCTTTCCTTTTAGCTACCTACTTCTTTTTACTTCCCTAAATCTGAACAGAAGCAATACAAGCAACTTACTTCATTTTAGTTTGCTTTTTTATGAAATCAAAATTAAGGTTTTTAGCCCTCTTTTTAATGAACATACACTAAATTATCTGGAGGTAGTTTAATATAGTATCTTATTCTTCAAGGATCTAGAATCAGAAATACCATTTGACCCAGCCATCTCATTACTGGGTATATACCCAAAGGATTATAAATCATTCTACTATAAAGACACATGTACACACATGTTTAGTGCAGCCTTGTTCACAATAGCAAAGACTTGGAACCAACCCAGATGCCCATTGGTGATAGACTGGATAAAGAAAATGTGGCACATATACACCATGCAATACTATGCAGCCATAAAAAATGATGAGATCATGTCCTTTGCAGGGACATAGATGAAGCTGGAAACCATCATTCTCAGCAAGCTAACACAGAACAGAAAACCAAATACTGCATATTCTCACTCTTAACTGGGAGTTGAACAGTGAGAACACATGGACACAGGGAGGGGAACATCATACACCGGGGCATGTCGGAGGGTGGGGAACTAGGAAAAGGATAGCATTAGGAGAAATACCTAATGTAAATGACAGGTTGATGGGTGCAGCAAACCATCATGGCATGTATATACCTATGTAACAGACCTGCAGGTTCTGGACATGTATCCCAGAACTTAAAGTATAATAAATATATATATATATATATATATATCTTTAAATTATCTAATTAAATATATTGTCTCCAAATGTAATGTTTCCAAGGGTTTATTGAATAATAATAATGATTATTATTATAACTAGTAATCATTCTGACCAGAAGTTCTCTATTTTTATCTTATTTTATCTAAGCAGACATTTACCACATAGAATTTGCAGAAAGAATGCTTAAAAGGAAGCTCACAAATCTTAGTCTGGTAGAATCCAAGTGTAGAGATACAGAGACACATGCCGTGTGCATTTCAGGCATTCAGCAAATCTTAGTAGAGGAGATTGCATCGGGTGGTGTGTCATTTTGTCTTCAGTTTTTAAAATTAGAAGGAGACTGCAATTCATGCTACAGGCAAAAAGTGATTTGTGCTACACTTTCGAAAGACCGATTGCATGAGGCATTGTATTTTTATTATATTTTATTTTCTGTATCAACAGTTAACATTCTGTGCCTATGAGTAAAATTTGTTGAATGTTTACTTACGTGTCAGGTACAGTTCTAATACTCGGCATGCATCCGATCATTTAATCCTCATAACTCTTATGAGGTAGGTTCAAATATTATGTCCATTTCCCTGAAGTGGAACCGAAAGTACCGGAGGTTAAATAATTAGGTCAGTGTCATAAGTATCATAGTGAAGGATCTGGCCTGGTGTGGTGGATTATGCCTGTAATTACTTGGGATGCTGAGACGCACAGATCACTTGAAATCAGGAGACCAGCCTGTCCAACCTGGCAAAACCCCTTCTCTACTAAAAACAACAACAACAAAAAATAGCTAGGTGTGGTGGCAGGTGCCTTTAATTCCAGCTACTTGGAAGGCTGAGGCAGAAGAATTGCTTGAGCCTGGGAGGCTGATGTTGCAGTGAGCTGAGATTGCACCAACTGCACTCCAGCTTGGGAAAAAAAAATCATTGTGAAGGATCTAAATGTCCAAAGATCTGGCTTTAGAGTATGGGCTCTTGACCGTTAGGTTATGCTGCCCCGTAGAAAACCTATATGCTTAGATTTTATAACAAATAAATGTTTAGCTGATTGATTTATTGATTGATGGTAGAAGTGGAAGAGTAAGCAGGGCCTGGGGCAGGGCTGGAACCATAGACCTCTGCAGGCTGGATTAGAATTCAGGATCCCTGTCTGTGTGTATTTAAGGCCAGAAAAGGGTTGAGACCACCTGCCTTATAGGGATATTTAGCTTAATTTTTGTCTGGATCATTACAGTCCTACCTTAATGACATTTTAATCTTCTAACTTCATGGTCTATATTTCCTGAAACATTTTTGATAAATTCTTTTGTTTCTACAGAAACTCAAACAGAAGAATCAACAGCTGAAGCAAATTATGGATCAATTACGAAATCTCATCTGGGATATAAATGCCATGTTGGCAATGAGGAACTAAGCTGATATTTAAATTTCCTGCTTTACACATGTTGCACCGTTGTTTTTTCCCTCAAGTATTTTTTCCCTGTGAAGATTATTTATCTGCTTTTATTTTAGTCAATAAAACTGAAGTTCCTATTTTTACATTGTGATTTTTACATTAAAATATTCATTAACTGTTTTTTTAATGTTACTGATTTTATGAAAGATTATTGTAATAAACTTTGATGAGGTTTGTATTTTGGTTCATCTTCATGAATTGAATAATTGTTTTTTAAAAGACAAAATGAAGTTTTTAAAATAGATTTTTTAATTTGAATAATCAATTTGCTAATATCAGTTATCCTTTTAGAAGAAAATTAAATATTTAAATATTTCTGCAGATAAAAAGTATCAAGTACAATCTATATACAAATTAATTAAAATTAAAGATATGTTACCATTTCAGCTCAAGTTTTTAAATTCAGTTTTATTGCCAAGCCAATTAAAATGTATATTTCTATGAATAGATGAAAATTAACATGTTCTTCAAGTATTTGGTGTTAAATAATCTGTCTCTAAAAGGAGAGAAACAATATAAGGACAACAGAAATTCAAATCACAACTGTGTGCTTATTTGCTATGTGCTTTAGGCCAAGAAGCAAGCACTTAACTAATTTTTCAGGTATACCCTAAAGTAAGCATGAGTATGTTTTGGAAACAGTACATTTGCAGGGATTTTAAATGAGATAGTTCTATATGACAGGTGTTTTCTTTTTTTTTTTTTTTTTTTTTTTTTTTTTTTTTTTGATTCAGAGGGCTCTTCCTATCTGGCCTCAGTTCTGACTCTGAAAAATATTGCTGTTGGACTTTTCTTGTAAAAGTTTCTCTGGAAGGTAGCACAAGAAACTGGTGATAGGCTTCCTCTGGGGAGGGGAAGTAGGTGGTTGAGGATCAAAATTAAGAAGGCACTGACTTTTCATTGTATATCATTTTATACCTTTTGAATTTTACAACGTGCAAATACTGGGTATTCAAAAAATAGGCAAATATTTTTAAAGTTATGCAGATTCCCACCTAGACAAGAGTATAAGAAGACAAGACAAACCATGCAAGGATCTTTAGACCCTCCAACTTTACATTTATCAGAGCAGTTTTGTGCAAACTCAGTGTTAGATGGGACGTGGACTCTACCTGCAGCGGGAAGCTCTTCGAAGTTAAAGGGCAGAAGGCAAAGGTGTATGAAGCTGTGACAAGGAGAAGCAGTAGGACCAACTGTCCAACTTACTGTGGTACTTCTTAGTATCTAATAGTTTATTTGGACATGCAGGGTTTTTATAGGTTTTCGCTATATTCTTTGCACTGTTAGGAATGTAGTGCACTATTGCTGGCTACTCTTGTCAATTTAGTATTTTGGTACTGACAACTTGTAAGACAGTTCTGAAATGTTCTAACCTATTTTTTTTGTTGTTGTTTTAATTATCACACTCTACTTCGATTATTCAAGGTACCACAAATTCAACTCTTGGAGGGAATGTGGAAATTGCATTCTTTTGGCCTTGGTTCCATAAAGAATATTTCTGTAGAACAATAATCAATGCAGCTACACTCTGCTCAGAGCAGAGTAGCAAGTTCTGAAAGGGTATATTTGCAACTGAGAACTGAAATGGGTTTACCCAGTTATTCACAAGTCTACTTGAGACCAATTAATGAACATGGCAGGGGTTGTTAAATACATGGACCCCACAAATTCTCAAAGTTTCAACTTTTTCTTGAGGGAGAGCATACTAAGAGATGGGAGAGCAAAGAAAGGTGAATTCAATTGTAATGTGTTCTCTTCAGCAAGTAAATCTCTGTTTTCTCATCTGTAAAATGATGAGTGAGACTAATCTCATATTCTATGTAAGAATTTTGGTTGCAAATATTAGAACCCAATTCTAAATGGCTTAAGCCAAAGGGGATTTCTTAGTTTCTGTAGTGAGAAGAGATGCTAGAGAAGAGCTCACAGAATAAAAGAAAATGGCAGGAAGCAGGGCTTCAGGAATTGGAATCAAGTTTCAGTTCCCTCAAGATTCTACGTCCACCCCTAATTTTAGCCTGTTAGTGTTTGTTCCATTCTCTCTCATTGCAGATCAGCTTTTTCCAAATGGTGAGGAAAATGGCCTTCCACTGTCCTTACACCTTTGCTGTATCCTGAGCCCAGAGCTAGGTTGCTTCTCCAACTCGAATTTGAGCAATCCTAGAATAGACTCTAAAAAGTTTGAGTAATATAACCAACCCATGGACCAATGATGATATAAATCAGTACTATGATTAGACTAATCCATGTTATAAGCCCATTCCTGTGGCATGGGAGTTATAGAAGAGTGTCCTGTGCAAGGAACAAATATTTGAAAAAGGGGGGCAACCAGGAAAATTTGAAAAAAAAAAAAATCCACAAACAATGGTAACCACAGCCCACTGTTTTTCTTTCTTGGTTATAATACTATCTCAGACATAATATTAGTTATCCAACCTTCAAAAGATCAAGAAAAGTTTACAGAAAATCAAATACATCATTGACTATCATAGGAATTACTAGTCTTAATTTTTTTTTTTTTTTTTCTGAATTTGTGAACTTCTGTACTTACATTTTTATTTGCAGCTGCTTCTTGGCAGCTGTTTCAATTAATTGCTATGTGATCTTATCAGGTCTTGGTTAGCCTGGGTAAAAGCATAGAGAGGAAACAGTTAAGAAAAAATAAAATGAAAGATTCAGCATCCTAGTAAGGACATTATCTTTAAAATGATTTAGAAATCTACAGTCCTGATTATTCAGGCATTAGATCCCTTGGCACTGTTACAAGCCAAAATGTGTTAACTTGACATTTTGATGTAGTTTCAGCTTGAGTAATTCATTTTCTTTCCCTAAATTCCCACTGAAGTTTAAGCTAGATAGAAGAGTTTTTCAGCTTTAAACTAAAATGTGTACTTGTCCTAAAGCTTCAAAGAGTCCGTTATCCTCAATGTTCTTAAATTTGTTCAACAAAACTAGATGCCTTAAATTTTTGTCTAATGCTTTATAACATTCATCAAGGACTAATTTTAAGCCTATATTTAAAGATATTCTGCGTGTGTTGAAACACAATAGCAGTCTTGAATTACTTCATGTTTTTTAAATAAAGAATTAAAGTTATTAGAGTTATTTAAATTTATTTTTAGTTTATCTTTTTCATAAAGTAGAAATTGTACACTGATTCAAGGAATTAATACATTTTTTCAAAAATTCTTACTGTTGCCATCATGTAATTTACATTCTAAAAACTGCTAGAAAATTTACAAACAAAGGGTAAACCTCTATTTTCTCTGTTTTGTGATCTTTATCATTCTTCCATGACACTGAACCACAAGACTACTAAGTGGCATGCTCTTTGTTATAATTGCCTAAAGCTGTTTAAATGCTTTTAGATGTCTTTTCAGGCAGTACTACCAGGTTTTACGTCTACAGAAATTCTTCGGGTGTGTGTTTAAAAATGAAGGTTTTTGTATTTACCACAAATGTACTGAGACAGAATTTCTAAGGTAGGGAATCTAAAACTCAGCGTATTTAACAAGTTTTCCAGGTGATCTGTCACTGATAATTTGAAAAATCTTGTTCTAAACAGTTTAGTGAGAATTGTTGAGTATTTTAATATGAAAAATTCTTCAAAACATGGCAGATATAAAATAAAATGTGTTATGCCATATTTAGAGTTCTGGCCTTTCGGATATTTAACAAGAATATTCTACATCAGCAGTTCTCAACCTGGGCTGCACATTAGAATCAACTGGAGAAATGTTAAAATTCCCTAGGCCAAAACCACACCCCAGACCAATTAAATAAGAATCCTAAGATGAGATCCAGACATCAATGTGTTTTAAGTTTCCCAGTTAATTCCAATGTGAAGCCAAGATAGAAACCATAGCTCTATGTAAATTTATAGGCATGGAAAGAATCTCAAAGGATTGTGTTTTCAAATAATAGTTAAATATCTGGAGCAAAGAACTTGAGGGCAGAAGTGTAAAACCTATACACAACTAATCTTACACTCTTGGGTATCAGAGGCAAAAGACCCTTGTTATCCACAATCACACCACCAGTGACAACATAGGAGAGAGAATGCCATACAGATGGCAACCCTTTGTTTTTTGTTTTTTGCTTTTTTGAGACGGAGTCTCACTTTATCGCCCAGGCTAGAGTGCAATGGCACGGTCTTGGCTCACTGCAACCTCCGCCTCCTGGGTTCAAGTGATTCTCCTACCTCAGTCTCCCAAGTAGTTGGGATTATAAGCATCTGCCACCACACCCAGGTAATTTTTGTATTGTCAGTAGAGACGGGGTTTCACCATGTTAGCCAGGCTGGTCTTGAACTCCTGACCTCAAATGATCCACTCACCTCGGCCACCCAAAGTGCTGGGATTACAGGCATGAACCATCGCACCCAGCCAGCTGGCAACTCTTATAAGCAAAGAGAAAGAAGGAGATCATTGCATGTGCTCCCAGCCCTGAAGGTCATAACACTGAAGACATTGCAGAGGTAGAGTGAAGTCAAAAGGAAGACTACATTTCTCTTTGTTCTCTGTTCCATGCTCAACATGGCCAGCCACATCTTGTTTTAGACTGCTAATAGAACTAACCTAATTAGTGTTTGTAATTTACTCATCTAACAGGCATTTACTGATCACCTACAGACTCCAGGCACCAGGCTAGGACCTAAGCATACCAGGCTGGAAACCTTTGCTCAAAGGTTATGGAATATTAGCTAGAAGAGAGCTCTTCATACATGCAAATTCTAGGATCATCAGAGGCTTTCTCCACATTCACGAATTGGACATCCGTCAACCAACCCCAAAAAACAATGAAGTGCTTTTACTCCATTGATGCTTAGATTTTCATGGTGCTCTAGAACAGATCACAGAGCTCATTAGAGGGCTCCTTCCCACTGGATACCACACAAAGAGAGTCTCTACGTGGTTTAAAAGTTATTGTATATGCCCAGACCTGTACAATCTAACTTATGATAAAGATACAAGAAGGTAATGCTATAAAAATGTTCAACTCCGGAAGATGAGAATGTAGCACAGCTTTAATTGCAATAAGGTGAGGGAAATAATTTTTAAAACAGCTTTGAGAAAGGGGAAAAAAGTCATTTGCAAAAGCTCAGTACTTAAAATCTACAGATGGCATAGCCAACAAATAAATCAATTAAAGGATGCAAAGTGTGAACAGAAACATAAATGTGAATTAAAATCCATACAAACTTCAAGTTATGTATGAAGTAAGTATTTTAACCACTGGCACTAAAATTTTA